TATGCGATTCCATTGTTGTGATGCACGTGTTACTGTGCTAGCTGAATGTTATGTGAACTGTTTAAAAATGTAATAAAAAAGTTTTGAATTTCTGTGAGCCATACTCATTAGTTGAGTCTACTTTGAAAGTACAGAAGTTAATTAAATTCAACAAACTACACAAGAAAGTTACATGGTGTCAGGAGCAAAATGGATTTCAGACCACCTGCTCCGCTAACATTCTCCGTCGGAAATGTTAAAGAAAAATGGAAGCAAGAGCTAGAAAACTATTTACTTGCAACGGAAAAAAGATGCCAAGCCAGATAAGACTAAAATTGCAATTCTTTTGAATTTACCTCGGTACTGAAGGACTCGAAATTTATAACACGTTTCGATTTGAGCCACCTGAGAATAAAGGAGAAGTACAAAGAGGATTCTTGAAGTCTTTTGAAGATTATTGTTCACCACGGCAGAATGTTCGTATATGAACGTTACAAATTCCTTTTCGTGTAGCCAGCAAGAAGGACAAACAATTGAATGTTATGTCACTCATTTAAAGACTTTAGCGTCAACTTGTGAGTTTGCTGAACAAGAAAATGGATTGATTCGCGACCTGTATTGTATTAGGCATTCGGGATAGGAGTCTGACCGAACGTTTGCTTCGAGAATCTAACCTAGGATTAGAAAAGCTATAGAAATAGTCCGTGCCGCGCTGAAACAAGCAAAGAGCAACTCCGGAACATGAAAGATGATCCAGCGACTGTGAACAGCGTGAAGAAATATAGAAAAACAGCAGCATCAATCAAAACAGTCAGTGCCACCACCGAAATTATTGTCGCAGCAGAAGCAATCAGCACTAGAATATGACTGCAAGAAGTGCGGAAGAAGGCCCAAATATCAGGATTGTCCAGCTTTTGGAAAGACGTGTGCGAAATGCAAAGTAAAGAACCATTTTGCCGCGCGAGGCTGTCCCAAGAACATTTATGAAGTTGGAATACCAAATAATGAACTTTAGTATATATAATGAACATAGTGTATTTGTTGACTCTGTAATGATAAATTCCACCAGTAAACGGGCATAGTGAATTTAAAATAAGTGCAAAATCAATCAAAGAATCTAACAAATTCTATTGATGAAGTAAATAAGGATATTACACAAAGGTAAGTGAAACATGGGTGAAAAAGTATTACAAATGTATGTAAATAATAAGTATTTCAAGGTTGATTTTAAGTTAGATACTGGTGCAGAAGTAAATATTTTGCCTTTGTATGTTTTAAATAATGTTAAAACTTAAGCCTAAACTAATGAAACTGATTTGTTCTTAACTGCATGTGGTAATTTTAAGTTAAAACCAGAAGGTACTCTTACAATTAATTGTTCAACTGAAAGGCTTAAGAATGTACCTTTACAGTTTTATGTTCTTGATGTAAGATCTAAGCCTATATTAGGGTTAACAGCTTGTTCTGCATTAAAGCTAATTGAAAGGATTGATTCCTTAAAGTGCAATATCATTAATAAAAATGATTTAATTGCTCAGTATAAAGATGTATTTACAGGTAGGTATAGGGCAATTTCCTGACGAACCATATCATATAACCCTTAAAGATGATGCAATACCAGTAATACACCCCCCAAGACGTGTTCCTCAGGCTTTACTTTACAGCCTAAATTAAAAGATACTTTAGATAAACTTAAAAGAGAAGGGATAGTATCGAAAGTAAATAAACCAACTGATTGGGTTCAAAGTTTGGTTATAGTTGAAAAAACCTAATGGGAGTCTGAGATTATGCTTAGATCCTAGAGATCTAAATAAAAGTAATTAAAAGGGAGCACTATCAAATTCCTTCTCCAGATGATATAATTAGTAGGTTAGAAGGTAAAAAAGTATTTTCAGTGTGTAGATTTAAAAGATGGATTTTGGCATGTACCACTAGATGAAAGCTAGTTCTGAACTATGTACATTTAATACTCCTTATGGAAGATATAAATTTAATAAAATGCCATTTGGAATATCCTCCGCCCCAGAAATATTTCAGAAAAGAAACCAAAAATTATTTGGTGAATATTGAGGGTGTGGAAGTTTATTTTGATGATATCATAATTGCAGGATCTGATGAGGTTACTCATGATATAATTATCTCTAAGGTTCTTGAAAGAGCTAGGTCTCTAAATATAAAATTTAATCCTGATAAATTACAATATAGGGTACCGGAAGTCAAATATGTAGGCCAAATTATTTTCCGAGTCAGGGTGTAAAAAGCCGATCCTAGTCGTATTAAAGCAATTATTGATATGCCAACACCAAAATCAAAAACTGAAGTAAGGAGGTTGTTAGGAATGTTAAAACCTTTCTGTCAAAATTTATACCTAATGTATCTAAAGTTACTGCTCCTTTAAGAGAAATCATTCAAGAAAAGGTAGAATTTAATTGGGGAGAGACTCAGGAATGAGTCATTTAACAACATCAAACAACTGCTAACCAAAGCTCCAATTTTAAAAGTTTTCAGTGGTAATGAAGGATATAATTATACAAGTGTGATAGTTTGAAGGATGGCCTAGGATCGTGTCTAATTCAAAAGGGTAAGCCTGTATCATTTGTGTCTCGCAGCCTGACTAACAGTGAAAAAAAAACTATGCACAGATCGAAAAAGAGCTATTGGCCATAGTATTTTCTTTTGAAAAGTACCACAATTTTGTTTATGGACGAAAAGTCACAGTACAAAGTGATCATAAGCCTTTAATGGCAATTGTTAAGAAACCATTGCATAAAATCTCTTCTAGAATGGAAAGGATGATCTTAAAATTACTAAAGTATGATTTTGAGATAAATTATGTTCCAGGAAATCAAATGCTTTTTTGATGACACTTTGTCACGTGCATATCCTGTGAATGAAACTATTAGTGATGATCCTGAAATGCTAAATGTTGTTCACATTATTTCAAAATATTTGCCTATGAGTGAAAGAAGAGTGGTGCAATTTAGGAAAGAAACTGAATCAGATCCAGATTTGCAAATAGTTATGAAATATATTAAAGAGGGTTGGCCTAAATGTTACAAAAAGTAGATAGTAGTGTAAAAACATACTTTAAAGTTAAAAATGATCTTTATATTAATGACGACTTGTTATTTATTAATGAAAAATTAGTTGTACCTTATGTTTTGAGAAAAGATATGTTGCAATTAATTCATGAAGCGCACTTTGGAATTGAGAAATGTAAAAGTAGAGCCCGTGAAACTTTTTACTGGCCAGGTATGACAAATGACATTGAGCAGCTTGTTTCCAAATGTGAAATATGTGAAAAATTCAGAAATAGAAATCAAAAGGAACCTCTAATGCAATATGAAATTCCAACTAAACCATTCGAAAAAATTGCCCTTGATATCTTGCAATTTGGTAATCAAAATTACTTAGTAATTATCGATTATTACTCTAAATGGATTGAGGTTTCTAGCATAAAAGATAAGACAGCAAATGAAATTATGATAAAGTTAAAATGCATCTTTGCCAGGTATGGTATTGCAAATGAAGTCGTTTGCGACAATAATCCCTGTAATAGCTACTTATTTAAGAAATTTGCTGAAGGATTGGGATTTCGAACTTAAATTTAGTAGCCCCAGATATCCTCAAAGTAATGGGCTGGCTGAAAGCTGTAGGAATAGTGAAAAATATCATGAGAAAAGTGCAAGATATAAGTGTAAGGCTTAATGGAATATCGAAATACCCCAATTAGTGGAATAAATTTGTCTCCTGCACAACTGTTTACTTAATAGAAGATTAAGGACAAAATTACCTATCAGTAATAAATTGTTAAATACTATAGATAAACAAACCTTATTCTAAATTTTCGTGCACTTCAAGCTAGGCAAAATATTATTATTGATAGAACCGCACAGAAACTGCCTGAGTTAAAACCTGGAGATAGTATAACCTTGTTCAACTTTAGAACTGGGCAATGGGATAAAGGTGAAAGTAATTTCAAAACATAAAGCTCCTAGATCCTATATTGTAAGAAATTCAAATGGGGAAATATTGCGAAGAAACAGACGCCATATAAAATTTTCAAAATCACCTTACAAAGTTAATAATGATTATGATGATATAGTATTAGATAAAGAGGAAAATTCAAATGGAAGCCCTGAGAGTGTTTTTGTGCCTCTTAATATAGGAAATCAACAGAATAATCTATCCAATAGTACAATAACAAGAAGTGGACGGTTGATTAGACAACCTTCAAGATATAGAGACTTTGTCATGGAATAAAATAATGTAACGTATTGCATATATCATTTTTATGTAACTTTTTTGTTATTGTATGTCATATTGTAAATATACATTTATATTGATACATATATTGATATTATTTGGTATTTTTATTATTGTTTATAAACTGGAGGAAGGGATGTGATGTATATTTAAAATAACTTTAATGGCGCTCATGCTATGCGATTCCGTTGTTGTGATGCACGTGTTACTGTGCTAGCTGAATGTTATGTGAACTGTTTAAAAATGTAATAAAAAAAGTTTTGAATTCTTGAGTTATACTCATTAGTTGAGTCTTCTTTTGAAGTACAGAAGTAATTAAATTCAACAAACTACACAAGAAGTTACAAGAAGCATCTCTGTTCCTTTGCTGTAAATTCAAAAGTAACTATTTACTCCATGGAGGTAGGTCTCCACAGATCAGGTACTCAGGTGTTTGCATTGAAGAAGCCTGTGATGCAAGTATTATTTAGCAAACAAGCCGAGAGTCATCATGGCTTTGAGAATGTTTCGGAAGTCTTCTAAAATCGCTAAAGTTGGGCTGGTAGAAAACTATTTTAAAACTATTTTATTTACTATCTATTTTTAAAACTACCAACTACTTTTAATTAATTAAAATAAATATAGAAGAATATTGTGTTTACGATATTAATCGTTACTGAAATGTTCAATCGTGTTTTTTATAGTTAATTTTTATTGTTAAATTTCATTAGTCCACATGGAGAACAGGAACTACTCAACTTATTGTATACGAAACCTAGTAAAGTGTTTGTTTATGGTTTTGATATCCTTGCGGTGTATTCAAAAAAATTACAAAATGCTTCATTAGATGGAGTGAAATATATTCATCTTTTGAGATAATAAATTAATACAAATTCTGAGGAAATTTTTATGACTATGCTGTGACATACTTATTTAAAATCGATAAATAATTTCACTCCAAACGTGTTGGGATTATTAATGGAGATATAGAATATATTTTATCTCGAATACTTTAGTCATATGTTAATAAAAACATATTTCTATAATTTGGATTAATTCGCATTGTGTCTAATTTAATTTTTGGTTTCAGGTATTAATTGCACAATGTATTTTTTAAATGGAGAATTATCAGTTAATCAAACAGATAGGGCAAGGTCATTCAAGTGAAGTTTGGTTAGTTAAGTGTTCAAAAACAAGAAAGAAAGTAAGTTGTTATAAGAGGAGTTGATAGTTTTTTTTATATAAATTATAACTGATTTTAGTGTGTGAAAGTTCCAGAAATAATTTTAACATTTGATCGGGAAGAGACAACAAATTACATCGCAAAAGTATCCTAAAATGTATAATAAAAACTAATTTGCAGAATTGCTCAGAGCGATTATATTGGTCAGATCTGTTACTTTAATATTTGTTCTGTAACCATTTAATCTGTTGTCTTGAATAATTTTAACAGTACGAAACTGTATTTATATATTGTTCATAGCTGTTAATAAAGTAGTCGCAAAGTCCAAGAACAGAAACTATTGTTATTATAATGTACTCTTTATTACTTATTTTGTGTAATAATTTGTGTTAGTTTTATTTTTGTAATTTAGCAAAGAATTAGGTAGCTGTTGAGTGCATTACTAAACAGTCAAGCAAACTACAGATAAGAATTATTTGCTAATTATTAGGAAAAGAAACTACAGAAAAGGATAATAAATATTAATTATGAAACATGTATATGCCACTGAGAATTCCATTTTATTTTATCTAAGAATACAATTTCATTACTGATCAATATATTGTAGAACTCAGGTGTGCCTTTATATTTTCTTCAAGAATTTCAATATAGGTTAAGTTTAAATATTATTCAAGTTGACTGCTTCCTTCATTTTACTGAATGAATATGATTCACTTGTTTGGTGTAATGGTTTTATAACTAAACAAAATGTTTTTTGAAACATTTTAAGTTTATAAATATTGCATAAGTTATTATTTAATATAATGCATGCATTTAGTGTGCTTCCCAGTGTAATGCATTTTAAACATCACATAGAAAATACCTATAAAAACAATAATTTAAATAGCCATATTACACAATTATTAAAATCTTAATTATTTATGAATTTATGTAATTTTCTAGACTAAGTATTACAAATGAGATTTTATAAATAATGAAGTAGGAAAAAATTATTATTGGGGGGAAGTAATTTTCCATCCCCTAAGGTAATCATCTAGTGCAAGGTTTTACAGACAGGTAGAAGTGGAGAAGACACCATCATTTTACTGTTGGTTGTCCAGGTACTGTTAGTTCCACCCCAATTCTGATGGAGAACACCCTGAGGGGGTAGTCTCAAGTTCTCCTATCCCTCTCCCTATGCCACCTACCTTCAAGAGGACTTCTGGCTTGCCATTTGTTCTGTGTGCCTTCTTGCTACACAGACACTGTAGGCATACGAACATCCATGCCTTCTCAGGGGTTCAAATTCGGACCCATCGGTAGCTCCCTTACCGGGAGTTCTTGTCACACATTACAGTCACAAATGTGCATAAAAATATAAAATAATTAATTTAATAAATAGATAGCTCTAATTAACTCAAAAGTATTCCTTGATAAAAAAATAGCTTGCAGTCATTGATTATAGTTTTATAAAAGAGGTTCATTAAATAAATTAATTAAATTTTATAAAAGTGACAACTTTTTAAAAGATAATATATTTTTTGAATGAATCTTTATTGCTTTATTAATCAATTATTAATATCTGGCCATTTTTTAAAATCATTTTTACTGTTGTTCTCATTTGAAAAGGAAGAAAGGGGGGAAATGTCTTTCGTTATAATGCCTGTCAAAATTTAATGACAAACACTAAGGTTCTCTTGTATTTTTTAATTGTTACCTATCGAAAATAATTTGTAAGTGAGTCCTTTAGAAATTGTTTGTTATTTATAAAGAATTTAATGCTAATTATTCAAAAATGAATCATGTATATTTTATAGTGTTGTTTATTTCTTTTTATTTTCCTTAATGTGATCAGAAATAAAAATATGAAACAGAGCTTGGATTTTTTATGCTTTCAGTATGTTTTAAAAAGAATTGATCTTCGACACGCATGCAAACGAGAACAAAGAGCTGCTTATTTGGAGGCAAGACTTCTGTCTACTCTTAAGCACCCTAATATTGTGACATATTTAGATTCTTTTCATGACAGCAATGCAAGTCTCTACATTGTCATGGGCTATTGTGAGCATGGTGACCTTTACACATGCATAAAGAACAGGAATGGTGTATATTATGAAGAAAAACAGATTATTCATTGGTTCGTTCAAATTTGTATGGCATTAAAGGTATTTAACTATGCTTTTCCTCCTCAAAAAATTTTTTAGGGTTTGCTAATTATTTGCTTTTTGTTTTATGTTATTTATTTCTGAGTTTATATGTTATCTGAGTTCTTTAATTAATGTGTTTGTTTAGTTTAAAAAATCATAATGTGGAATTTTTCATATCCTTTTTAATATATTTCAATATTAATAATAAATGCAAATACAGTACAAAGTCCGAGATCCGGAATGATCTAAAATCCAGACCTAAGCCACCAACAACTTTTATTGTCTTATTTTTTATTTATTTATTTTGGTATGCTTTATGCATATGCATTTGATTTTTTTCCGTTCATGATAAAACATGTGGAGAATCCTGATTATTAACTTCACTTCAGGATTAAATAAAATACCTCGTTATTGAAGAAGCAATCATTTTAACATAAATTTGTGTGATCAATAATTTGACTCGGTGTGTATTTGTTTGGCATACATCTCAAACCGGAACATTCTGTATAGAAACATCATTGATTTTACATCTAATAACATTTTATATCCCTGACTCCAACATTAGCGAATCATTGTTTATTATATTTTGTTTTCATCACCACATATTTATTCAACACATGACAACTAATATAATGGCTCATGCAGTGATGCCTAAAAAAATTTTTATATATACAGTCAAAAGTCATTAATCCGGACTCGTCGGGACTTCGGCTATTCCGGATTATCCATTTTTCCGAATTATAGATCATCAGTTTAAATCTGGTAAGATGGCTTGCAGAAATTATAAAATTAAAAATATGAAACCGTAATTTATGAAATAAAGAACAATTATGATCTAAAGGGTATCAAAATTTACAAAAAAAAAAAAAAAAAACCTTAATATTTATTTGTTTACTTTATTAAACATTTCTTTCAATGTAAGTTGTTTAAGTTGCTTCGTTTTCTGTGATAATACTTTCTCTTTAATTCTATAAACAGACATAATTTCTTGTTTGGTTACAAAGTTCCGCTGTTCAAGTCCCGTAATTGCTGTGCCGAGAATACCGACTTACTTGTCAATCGAAATGTTTTCGTTTTCAATAACCTCTGGGGTCACTTTCTTCACTATCGGAAGCGAATTAATTATAATCACAAGGAACTTGATTTAAATCATATCAAAGATGGAGTACATCGAGATAAAATACTACACTTAGTAAGGAATTATAAGCCAAATAAAATAAACATCTGCCCTGAAGATAAGGATAGTGCTGACAGATCAACTTCCAATCCTCGGCGTGAAATTGATAAACAGATTTCGGATTTCAAAACATAATTTCGCTTTGTAGATACAAATTACATATTAGTAAATATATATCGGAAATTCTATTTGACATAATCGAAAGTTCAAGCTTACTTTTATGAAATTGCTCTAACAGTCTACAAAAAATAATAAGCCGGATCCAATTCGAAGATTAAGGAACAACGCAATCTGCAACATTAACTGAATTAGATAATTTTATACCTCCGTTATACCTCCGTTACACATTAAATGCGCATGCGCACAAACATATTAGCAGCCATAAAGGTCTTACGCGCTCTCGTAAACGCCTGTGCACATGCGTGAATGCGACGCATGCGCAGAAAGTTTGTAGCTTTGAGGTCCGGATTATAGATCATTCCGGATTATGGGTGTCCGAATTAACGACTTTTGACTGTATTAGTAATTGAATAACAAAGAGTATTGTAACCTTTTCTGTTGGCATCATGTTTGGCAATGATTACAGATTTATGTTAAATGTGCTAAGAAATGTTGAGGAGGAAAAATTTAATAAAACTTTCCTTCCATGTGCTAGGCCCACCAGCGGGCCGAGCGGTAAAGTCGCTGAACACTGGTAGTTCGGTCCGAGGTTCGAATCCCACGAACGGGCTGGCTGCATGGGTGTTTTCCCCATGTGTAACATGTATACGAGCCAGTTTCCACGACGCATCCCTCCCCTTAGGCAAAGTCCTCCACGACGCATCCCTCCCCTTAGGCAGATAGCCCTAGCGTGCTTTGCCGTAATTAAATACACCAACCTTCCATGTGCTAAAATAGATTTTCTTAATGATACTCATAGGCCAAAAGATTACATTTCGTGCTATTTGAATGAAGAATAACTGATTTGTTATTTACATAAATACAACAGGTAGCAGAATTTAGGAAGCAAAATTTTTTTAATTTAGAGAAGCATAAAGCAACAAAATTAAGGGATGAGAAAATTTTTAGAATTTAGGGAAAGCACTGGGAGCCAAAATTTAGGAGTGGCAAAAATTTAAAACTTAGGGAGGCGCTTGGTCCCGCAGAGACATTGCAGTAAGATACCTAGTGGTGGCCCATCACAGTGGCCTAGCTGGGGTGGGGCGCAGCATCCAAGGGGCGCCAAATTGATGATACACCTTTCAGAATTAAATGTTTTCCATTCTTAGAACACAGAAAGGGGTGCAAAATCTTTTGGTGTCCCTGGGCGCTTAAAACCTTAGCTATGCCTCTGGCCCATCATAAGCCTTAAGTATATGTGGGAATTTATTTAATCAGCACTCAGATAATAAGATTAAGTATATACAAGAAATAGACGTAAGTATAATAAATAACTAATACAGTTCAGGCTTAATTGTCTCGTGTACGATAGAAGCAAGACAAAATTTAGTGGAACAACTTGTCTTTCATCGTCAATCTCATGATACGTAGCCAGTAACGTATAGCGTATGCTATTAAACTAAACGAAAATTATACTTTACTGATTTGATGGAATTTCAGTTTAATATAGCAGATTGCACCGTTCCTTAACTTTCTGATTTCATCCAGCTAATTTTTTGCAGGCTGTTATTACAGCAATTTTATGAAAATTAAAGTTTGAACTTTCAATTATGTTGAAAAGAGTTTCTAGTTCTGGAGCTACAAAGCAAAAAGCGTGTTTCAATGTCCAACTTACATTAAAAGAAATGTTTAATAAAGTAAACAAATAAATATTAAGCTTTTTTATTGTAAATTTTGATACCTTTTAGATCATAAATGCTTCGTTATTTCATAAATCACGATTTTATATTTTTAATTTTATAATTTCTACATGCCACCTTACTAGATTTAAAGTGATGAACTAATATCCAGAAAAATTCCAAAGCCGGGACTGCCAAAGTCCCGATGAGTCAGGTCTTGGACTTTGTACTGTATTCAAACATCTTTCCAAGTATCCAATACAAAATTTAAATTTTTACAAATTTAAAATGCAGGATTTTTTTTTTTTTTTTTTTTTTTTTTTTTTTTTTTGTAGAACTTGTAATTGTTTTTATTTGCTTTAAACAGAAAGTAAGAGTTGGTAATAAATCTATAAATTTAATTAATGTTAGTGTTAACTTTTCTTAAAGCTACTTAAGAAATTACTTTTCTGCAGTGGTTCGTAAATATGCATCTGCTAGAAAAATTTTCTTTTGTCCCCATATCCACCAAAATGTATGTAATCAAGATATTTATAATAGAGAATGTTTGGTTACTTTTATCTGTATATTATTCTGAAATTTAAGTACTGTCTCACAGCAAGAGATCTGTTTTGATTTACTTTTAATTGAAGCATCTGTCTAAATGTACTAAAATTGCCTCATACTGGTGAAATATGAATTGCTCCTCAATTAGCATCTTTTAGATCATTGGTGACCAATAATCTTGATAGACATCAATATTCATTGATTCCACTACAAAGTGTAGTTAAAATATATCAGGAGATTTTTCTGGGATATGATCACCCAAAACCTGAATGAAGGCCATTTTTCCTCATGGCCATTCATACCTGAACCATTTTTTCTCAGCTGCTTGTTAATAGACATATGCAGCGGACAAATTATTCCTAGTGCTTCAAATTCACTATTATGGATACCTTACTATACTGAAGCTACATCCTCTTTATTTATTACTATGGATTGTGGAAATAACAGTTCTTAATTATTGTTGAAATTGACAAATCTGTCATATTAAACTGTTTAAAGGACTGAATTCAGATACTAATAAAAAATTTCACTAACCTCACCTATTCAATAACTTGCTCGTATAAAATATTTATTCTCTAATAATTCATTTCAAATATAGGGTATTGGTATCAAACATTATTCAAAGATAGATCGGTACTTACGTATTATCGCAACCAGGTTGGCGTGATTTGTAAGTTTGAGTAAAAAAGTATGAATAGAAAGAAAATGTACATTTATTAATTACAGATAATTTTTAATACAGTTTTTCATATTATTTTGTTTTAAAATATAAAATAGCAATTAAACCCTTCCGGTTTCGAATTTGAATAACTTGCAGAATTATTTTTTCACCGGAAATCTTTTGGCTATTGCTTTTAGCACTGATTGAAAACCGTCTTTGCCATTAACAGCTTGAGCTTGGCGCCATATAAATTCGATAAGGTATGAGTCAAGATGATGACGGGCTGTTCCTCTCCTTTTTTTGTTGCGCCATTTGGCTGAGCCCCACGTGCGCTCTACATATTGTGTGTGAACGCCCGTGTTGGGATCCACAAAGTTATATTTGTGATTAACAGTTCCATGCAGAAATCCAGCATTTTCGAACTCACTTGTATTGTATCCTTTTCCAGCAATCCGAATAAATGATGCTTCTTCCTTGATATTTTCGCAAATTTTTTCCATGAGGGTAACAGCGCTTCTGTTAGGTACAGTAACCAAAAAAGTCTCTTTCTTTTCTCGGCAAATTCCGCCGAAAACCCATTGCTGTGGTAGTACACGCCCAGTGTTATTTTTTCTTTTTACAAATAAACTTTCGTCTATTTTCACAATAAGTCCTTCGCCGCCTATTTGCTTTCTTTCTTTTTCATCCATTTCAAGGGCACATATCTCCCGCATGTAATTAATAATCCGCATGTAACGAAAAACTACGCATAACACGTAGGGTCGCCAAATTTGGCGATTTATGCAAATTTTCACCTGGTTGCGTTAATACGTAAGTACCGATAAATCAAACTAGAGATTTCTTATTGGAGATTTACCTAACTGGAAATTAGAAACTGAAAACATAGTTAAGCATTTTGATTTTAATTATGGCTGGTACTTTCTATTATCCACACCCCTACCAAAAGTTCATGAAAAAGTATTCAATAGGCAAAGCAGTATTTTGTCAAAATAGTTATGTGGCAACCCAAAATTTTGCCCAAAAGCATTTATGTAGTAACCCAAGTATGCATGTAGTATATGTTTACTATGGCCTGTGTACAGTGCTGAATTACATAGATGCTGAGTTTTATGCAATTCTCTGATTTTTTTTAAGTGAAAATAGATCACTGTATTCATGAGAAAAACAATGGTGCCAAAAAAGATTTCTTGGAAAAGATAATTGTTTTATTACTGATATTTCTAGCTCTTCAAATTTTATAAATTGAATGCTGTTGTATGGAATTCTTAGTGCATTGTCATTTGGAAAATGTGTGTTTCCTTTCCTGCATTTCCAACATGTTTGCAGCATTTTGATGGTAATATGAATAGTCAGAAAGTACCTCATAACTTTTAAAGAAAAAAAAGTTATACTCTTTCTTGTGCTATGGCATCATTTAATTTTAACTAATAAATAAATCTTCTGTATCTAAAAAATTGTTTCTGTATTACAGAATCAGCCAACTTTTTTAAAAGAACAACGTAAAATAGGTTACATTTGAATGATATGATCACGTTAACTTGTGAAACAACTGTGAGGGCTTGAGGAGAGATTTTATCAAATGATAAGCTTTCTGCTCCTGATATTCAGTTTGTGTTAAATTCTAGGAACATCCCAATTTGGAGATTGTTTCACCTTTTCATCATTTGTACTTTTTCATCAATATAATAGCTAAGTTCTCAGTTTGTCACTCCACTGTTCATAAATATAGTATCAGATATGTAACTAATATATAACTTTCACATACCTTTAAGTTTTTTTATTTGTACCCATTTTTATTTATGAGCTTTCAAACAATAACCATTGCATACTTAAAATATAAATTATTAATTAAATGTACAAATGTAGTCATAATTTATTTATCAAAATTACATAATCTTTGAGAACAAATTAATTTTATTAAATTATATTTTTTATAATTTATCCTTTTTTGTTGTTTCCAGTATCTGCATGACAAAAATGTACTGCATAGAGATTTGAAGACGCAAAATATTTTCCTCACAAGAAATGAGCTAATTAAAATTGGAGATCTTGGCATTGCAAGAGTGTTAAATTCAACCCATGAAATGGCTACAACTTTGATAGGAACACCTTATTACATGAGCCCTGAGATCTTTGCTGGCAAGCCTTATAATCAAAAAGTAATAATTAAGTAAATTATAAAGTAAATCGAAAGCACTTTTAATTGTTTTTATGTATTTCTTTCTGGAAGTTCTTTGGCCGTGAATGTAATCAAAAGGTCCAAAATACCTACTGTATTTTTTTATTTAAGAAAAAGGTTTTTTGGATTTGATTAGTTAAGATAAAAAAATTCTCAAATTATTTTTTGAATTTTTTTTCTTCCCCCATATGGATTACTGCATTATGGTATACTTTAAAAATTATTTTTCCTAGTTTTCCACCTTGATCAAATTAAAGAAAAATGGAAAAGTATAAATATTTAAAAATTGTTGCCAAAAATATTTTACTTTGGTCATTTGCATATTTCCATAATTTATAAAAACTATTTATATACCAACTATTTATGAAATCCATATAATAAATATATGAACCATAGTAAATGGAAATTTCAATTTACCGTATATACCCGCGTATAAGTCGAACCCCCCCCCCCCACTTCGACATAAAAATTTCGTAGAAAATAAGAAACCCGCCGTATAAGTCGACCCCCCACTTCCGAAATCGATTAAGAAACTTCGAAAAATTTTTTTTTAAGTACTGCATTTATTCAAAATCATCTGAGAAAAAAAAAGTAAATATACAATAAAAAATACCTTGGTGAATAACAAAACAAAATCCTTCAACATCCGATTCATGGTCAGATTCGCCAAACTATAATATATAAAAAGTATAATATATAAAAAACATATAATATATAAAAATATAATATATAATAATTATATATTATTATAATATATAATAAACATATAATAATATAAAAAACATATATTTAAAAATTGTTGCCAAAAATATTTTACTTTGGTCATTTGCATATTTCCATCATTTATAATAAATTATAAAAATTATTTATATACCAACTATTTATGAAATCCATAAATAATATAAATGAACCTTGTACAGTAAATGAAATTTCAACTTACCGTATATACCTGCGTAAGTAAGTCCCCCCCCCCCTTCGACATCGATAAAAATTTGTAGAAAAATAAGAAACCGCATATAACGTACCCGTCCACCCCGCACTTCCGAAATTGATTGAGAAACTTCGAAAAATTTTTTTTAAGTACTACATTTATTCAAAATCATCTGAGAAAAAAAAGTAAATATACAATAAAAAATACCTTGGTGAATAAACAAAATCAAAATCCTTCAACATCCGATTCATGGTCAGATTCGCCAAACACTTCATAGAACTCTTCTGTCGTCGTTGGCTCGTCATCATACATATTTTCAGTCTCAAACTCTGTATTGTTACAATCACTACTAGAGCCTTCATCGTCATTTTCACTTTCAAAAACAGTATCATCTTCCATGCTGTCTAGTTCGTTCGTGCTATACAACTACATTTTTAAATGTTTTTAAATGATTTATAATCATTTCAGAGGGTATTTCGTTCCAAGCATCTTTAACCCACTAAGCAATTAATGTAATATTGGGCTTTTTATTGTTCGGGGGCCGAAAATTCTTTGGTTTTATCGAAACTTACTCTAGTTAAAGTATGAAACTCTGTGATTAGTTTGCCACATAATTTAAGTCATGAAATTACTTTAACTAAGTGACTTATTTGATAAGTTGTCCAATTTCAGTGCGGGAAGAAAACAACTGCATTATATAAAGAAATGTTTGAACTTCCGATTCTTTTAATTTTTTATGGCCCCGCGTATAAGTCGACGCCCGCTTTGAAGTCTTTTTTTTTGGTCCAAAATATCTCAACTTATACGCGGGTATATACGGTACTATTGTCATTTGTATATTTCCATAATTTATTTAGTTAACCATTAGATGCATTAGATGTTTTTAAATTTTACTAACTGAAGTAAAAAAAAATTGTGATGAATGGTGATTGCTTATTTTTTGCCAGATTTTGACATTTATTGCCTTTGTATATATATTGTTGCAGGCTTTCCGTTCAACATTATCTCTGAAGAATAACTTTTCATACATGGCAAGAAATTAACAATTTATTATCAAAACTTAATTACAGACAGCTCAATAATTAGCTTGAACAGAATGCAGATGTAAATAATTTCTCTTTAGTGCATGAGAAATATTGGCAGTTGTCAGAATCACTTGCAAAGTAAACTCACAATTCAGCTAAATCTCACACTTGAATAACTAACAGCAGCAACAACAACTTGTTACTTTAAAATAGCAGCAACAACAACTTGTTACTTTAAAATAGCAGCAACAACAACTTGTTTGAGCTTTCTCAGCTTTATTTATATAGACACTAGCTTTCAGAAAATTCAGGAAAGATCTGTCATGTGAAGAGTGTATCTCATGTTTCATTTAAGCTATTTTTATATTCTGAAAATTACCATTCTCATTTCTACAACAGTCATATTAGGAATAAACACCCACAAAAAAATAGCTGGCAACAAATACAAAACTAATAAATAAATAATACAACAATGCAGTGAAAAAATTTACACACACACACATATATATATATATATATATATATGTGTGTACACAACATATAGATACAACAATATATATGTATAGAAGTAATGCTGGTATGTAAGATCTGGCAGATGCAAAAATATTCTTAAGAAATAAAACTTGTTAGAATGGCAAAAAGTGTTTTACTTGAAAACAAATTGCTTGTAAATGATTATACATATAGTTTCACATGAAAATTTATTTAAAGTTCAAATGACTTTCTAGAGGAACAGTTTACTATCATATCATGATATATACAATGAACTTTTTCACACCAAACATTTCCTTACGATGATCACCTTTGAAAGTAACCAGTATTTCTGATCACATAAATAAAATCAGTACTGAAAATCCCTTGCTTGAGGTGATCACTTCTACAGAAGCCCCAAATTGTTTGGAGTCATGGATGGCTGTCTTTTAGAAAGGGTTCACTGCATTTTTAGCACTAATTTTAGTATGGACATAATCTGATAACCTCAACTAACAATCAGTAGATTTATATCAAATCTTTTCATTGATGTGTTTGTTAATTTTCTTTGATATTAAATTGTCATGTTTGAATCGTTAACTTTATGGTTGGCATCAAATAATGGATTTGACTTATTTATTTAGTTAATCTTAACTTTTATGCACATACTAAATTAGTGTGCCAAAATGCATTCAGGCAGTAGGTATGACTTCAACAGAAAACTCCTCTCCAGATTTTGAATGAACCAATGTTGAGCTTCCAAGGAGCACTGGTGTGTGGCTGAATAGCTAAAGTCACAAAGTATTTAATGGTTCTTTGTGGATTCAGTTCTTGATTATTGAAAAAGCTGCCTGTATTGGTGTTCCATATAGCTTTCTCTGATTAACTATTTACACTCTCAAGTTTAAAATTGTTAACCATTGCTGCTGAATAAAAATTTGAGCAGTGAAAAGTTTTGCATCTATATTTTCTGTCAGTCAAATGTTACAGAATATTGTTGAAGAAAATATGTTAAATCTTCCAAGACAGTCACCCACAGTTCTGATGTTTAGCGGAATTTTTTGCCTCAAAGACCATGTGTATCACTGGAAATTAGTCTTCTTTAGAAGTGGTTCTCTTAAGAGAACATACCTAGCAGTAATTCTTTTCAGGTTATGTACAGTAAATCATAGCCGAACATGAGACTATTACCATGTGTCGTAAAATCACATTCTGCAAAGTCAACTTTCTATGGAAGAAATGTGTTAAATATCATTCAGATTAAAAAAGTATGCATAATTTAAATAAACCAAAATATTGTTGTGATTAAAATGGAAAAAACGTGAATTGAATTTTAATTGAAAGATCTCTTTATTGCTGCTTAATAAGTACTTGATATGTAAGCACACATTTTTTAAAGCTGGTGATTTTTGCTTGGTACAGTAAATGATGCAATTCTTTAAAAATTTTGTGGTAAGCAGCACAGATTTTTTTTCTGCGCCTCTCATGAAGTGTCCTCTTCTTTCTTCGGTTGAATCAGTCTCCATGGCAAAATCAGGCCTTTTTTAACAATTCATTTAATTTCTTTTAAGTTAAAAGCACTTTAACTTCTTCATTATCACTGGTTTCACTATTGGCTGTAGTGATAAGGTGATCCAATTCTTCATTTATCATATCTCTATTAATTCTTTGACTTCTTCCATTCTTGAAACTCGATCACTGCCAGGTCATGTAGTCTGTTATTCATAAGTTGTTTCACTGTGTTTTTGTGTGCAATTCATTGTAGTAAGATACAGCACATATTTTGTTTGTTTTCATCAAACTGCAGAAAATTATCCTCATGTACAAGAATGTACAATCATGTTACAAGAATAAATGTGTGTTGTTTTCTTTAGCCACCTACTGACAACAGTTAGTGATTATGTTATTTCATTTATGTCATGCATTTTAAAGTACCATAAATGTATAGGAAATTAAAAAATTTCTTCTTTGATTGTTGGCTTAAAAAATTTCAATATTATAATTTCTAAAATATATATATTCATATATATACACACTTATATCTATAAATTAAGGATAATGTCAGATCCGGAAAATAAAGGTTTGGAACAAAACGAACATGACTTATTCACAAAGCCCATTTATTAAACAAAAGATGAAGAAAAGATGGATGTATTAACATTACATGATTGGTATGATGATTAATATATTGTATGTCTCCCAGACAATGAAATACAGTCCGTACAATGCCTAGGCATGCTGAGTATTAAATTATCAGGCTGATCTTGGGAAAGATTACTCCACTGAGCAAGCAAAGCTCTCCGAAGTTACAGTACACATGTAGGAGGTTCATGACGGGCTGCAATTCGTCAACCAAGTATGTCCCACACATGCTCTATCAGATTCAAGTCAGGTGAGAATGCTGGCCATTCCATATCAAGAATGACTTATTATTGATAATGACAAGACTGAAGGCATTCCTTTACAATGTTTGCACGGTGATGATGGGCGTTGACATTCATAAACACGAATTCTGCGCCTGTGGCACACCTAAACAAACCTACATGCTGTTCCAGAATGATGCCATGATAAATCTAGTCTGTCATGGTTCCAATCTGAACATGCAGATCTTTTCTGGAGCTGACTATAATTTTACCCCAAACGAGCAATCCTGCACCTCTGTAATGGTGTCGTTCAATGATGTTGTCTTAGTGGTAGTGGGTACTTGAATTTCTCCATATGAAAGTCCGATGTGAATCAGACTGCAAGCTAAACCTGGACTCATCGGAAAACATCACACAAGCCCACTGTGACGATGTTCACATTGCATGTTCTTAACTTCAGGCTAACCACTGGCGACAGTGAGTTGCCATGAGAGGAACACATCTGACAGGCCTGTGAGCATATTGACAAATCTGCTCCAAACATCTGTACATGGTTTGAGTTGAAACTGTCATACCCATGGCTGATGAGACAGGTTTGATGCTGTGCTCCATCTGCTTCTTTTGGCAGTTACTACCAAATATTGGTCGCCATTCGGCATTGTAACTCGGGGCAACCTGTACTGTAACGTCTACTGATATTTGCATCATTTTGGAATTGTTGCCAAAGCCTAGAGATGACACTTTGGGCTATTCCAAGTTCCTCGAATACTTCCATCTGAGTATGCTCACATACCAGGTGACTGATAATTCTACCATGTAAAAAATAATCCACATGCATCTTCTGTGTCATAACTATTCGGTTGTGGCACTAAGTGGCTTACAGAATGTTTGTGAACAATTTGATTTCTTTACTACCATTCCTTACATACACTTCCCTTACAGTCTTCTCATTGTGATGTACTATCAGTGTCATCTGTTGACTTCCTGTAATTTGAATATTATTCTTGGAGATATGTATGATAATTTTACAGTTGAAATTTTTACTTTAGAGTTCAATTTCCATGTCATTCTGAATTATCTTTAATTTATAGACATGAGTGTAGATAGATAGATATGTAGGCATACATACATATTTTAATTTTTTTAACAGTCAGATGTATGGGCTTTAGGCTGCTGCATGTATGAAATTGCTACTTTAAAACAAGCATTTAATGCTCAGGATATCCATACACTAATTCAGAAAATAATGAAAGGAAAAGTAAGTACCTTTATTTTCTTGCATAAATTCTTACTTTGAAAATGTATACTACAAGAAATGTATGAATGAAATTATGAAAATGTACAGAGGGTCTATATAAATTTTTGAATGATTTTAAGGCCATGTAATTAATGTTTACAATGCAAAGAATATTTTTTTAAAGTTCAATCTGGTAAACTTTTTTTTATTATAAGTCTGCATCATGATTCCCATAATATAGGAATTCATAAGAACTTTAGCAATATTGGTTTCCATTTGTCTTACACTACTTTGAAGAGCAGTCATGGTGGGTTTGTGCTTAGAAAGAAATCTTTTCCTAGAGACCAAAGGCACAATAGTCCATAAGTGAAATGTCAGGAGACAGTCTTCATTTTCACAAGGAATGCAATGGTACTTTTTGAAGTGTGATGTTGCTTTGTTTTGATGAAGTTTCACTCTTTGAAAGTCACTGGGACAAAGAAATGGAATTTCTTCTGTAAATATTGAACTTTTTGTTGATGGTTCACCGAGTTGATTTTTAATATGTTTTTCCATTCTTCTTATTTTTTAATTTCTCATTGTTAGAAAATTCTGCAACAATCATAAACCACTTACTGAAACTTTCTTTGCATTGATAGAACTAAGTTTATACACATTTTCTCTTCAATTTCAAAAATAGTAAACAGACCCTTTCTTTTTTTTCCCTTTTCTCTTTTTCCCCCCCCCCTTTTCTCTCTTTTTTTGGGGGGAGGTTGGAGTCATTTACGTAAACCATGTTTCATTGAGGGTCACAATGTATTTTCATTTTGTCTCTTTCTGAATAGTTTTCATACTGGGTTCTACAAATTGTTCTGCATTGAGCCACAGTTGGCAAAAGTTGATGAACATTATGTTTTTTTAACTTTTTTTAAAATTGTAAATATTGATTTATTATTTTAATTGTAGTTGCTACAGATGCATTTAAAGATCTGCAATTCATTTCTGCATTGGGAGCCCACCAGCAGTCGAGCGGTAAAGTCGCTGAACACTGGTAGTTCAGTCTGAGGTTCGAATCCCACGAACGGGCTGGCTTCATGGGTGTTTTCGTGGTTTTCCCCATGTGTAACTTGTGTACGAGCCAGTTCCCGTAGAAAGTCCTCCACGAAGGCATCCCTCCTCTTAGGCAGATAGCCCTCGAGGCTTTGCCGTAATTAAATAACCTAACCTAACCATTTCTGCATTGGCAGAGTTTCTCTTGATACCAATGATTTAACTTTAGAAACATCAGAAGCAGTACATACCTTTTTTGGGTATTCGTTTCAAGTCTTATTTCCGTGTAGGAGTTATAATTGAGGGTTTTACTCTTTCTGATTAATAACATTGCTTATTTTACACTTCAAAATCTTAATACCATGCATTTAACAATGTTTTTGAATTTTAGAATTGGAATATTTTACTTCAGAAAGTGCAAAAACATATCCTGCAATTCACAGCTAGTTTACGTGCAACATTTTGAAAGAAGAATAAATTTAAAAGTAGCAGATGATATTTCTCATTTAAATGATAATCTGTTGCCAGAAGTTTTTGTTCCAAAACTTTTTTTTTTTTATTTCTTCATCGAAATCAATCTAAAAATATATAAAGACCTTCTGCATGTTTACACATTATATAAAATGAAATTTCTATGCATTGGAAGCCAGTACTCTGCTGCACAAAATAAAAAAGGTGCATTTATTATCTGAAGTAAAGATGGGGAAAAATATGCAAATCTCGCTCCATCAACTCAGTTTCAGTACAGGTGTCTCGTAGGATTCTCTTACAAGGCAAAATTAAAAATAAGAAGACTGGAAAAAATGTTAAAATCAACTCAATATACTATCAAGTGAAAGTTTTACATTTAATATTTATAGTAGAAATTCCATTTCTTTACCCAAGTGACTTGGAAAGAGTGAAATGCAACAAGTCATGCTTTGAAAAATACATTGCATTCCTTGAAAAAATAAAGACTGATACAGTTGTTGCATATGCACCTTTTTAAATGTATTCTTATAAATGTATGACAAATATTTACAATTTAAATGTATAAAGTCACCTGATGTCTTACCTACACACTATTGTTGTGCCTTTAGTCTCTTGAAAAGAGCTCTTTCTAAGTGAAGCCCACCATAATTGATGGACTGTGGAAGAGGAATGGAAATTAATACGCTTGGAAATTCTATGAAAAGCCTTTCTGTCATGGAAATCACAATGTAGACTTATAGTCAAAAAAAAAAAAAAAAAGCTGTTAGATCTAATATTTTTAAAAAATAGTCTTTACATTTTAAACATCAATTATCATTCATCATCAGCCTTGAAATCATTCTAAAAATGTGTAAACACCTCCTGTAATTTTTTAGTTTTATCTCTTCATTTGTTAATTCTTCCTAAAATCATTTTTATTTAATTTTTGAAGTCCTACCAACTCGGATAATAACATAATACACAAAGCCATCTATCCCATGTAACAGTCTGACTCCAACTAATGCCATTAATTGGGTAATTATTATAAATTAACGATAAAAAATATTCACTTATCCACATATTTCATTCTTCTGTTGAAATAAATGTATGACAAATATTTACAATTTATATATGCTACTTTTGATCCATATACGTTCTTTAAAAAGGAACTGAGGCCATTATTGCATTTTCACTGATTTTTGAATGACTCTCTCTATGGGATTACCAATGGCAAAAGTTGCATATAGTACTGAGTTTATACAATGTCATACGTGTTTGCATACCTCACAAAGTATTAATAATATAATAATGTAAAGAAAAATATCATTTTCTATTTCTTAGGTTTCCGTCATGCCAGATATTTATTCTCCTGAATTTCTGACAATAATTTCATCAATGCTCACACATGAACCACAGAAAAGACCAAGTATCACAGAATTGCTTTTGAATGATTATATTAGAAAATTCATTTTATTGTTCCTTCAGGACTCTTCTGAGAGGTGTGTATTCATTGTAATCATGAAAACTACTACATGTTTCTTTGTTCTTATATAATGATTGGTTTAAAAAAAAGAAAGAAGTGAATGTATTATTTAGTAAATATTTACATATAATTAGTGTTAACATTTTTAATATAAATTTTCTGAAAAAATTAATATGGCAGTAACAGATGATTACCAAAAATTGTAAGATTATAAAAGTAATTTATGTATCTGCATGAGAGAAGTATATATAAATTTAATGCAATATCTTATAAAAGATAAATGCTATTCTCTAATGAAATATTTGAATATCCAAGTAGTTTCTGTGGATATTTTTTTAATTATGTATACATATATACAACTTTAAATTATTTAAAGACTTAACATTGTTATATTTGTAAAATCATGTAGTTGAATATGAAAAAATTTAAGACATATTAAGATAAGAATTCCTGCATTAATTTAGCTACACTGCTAAATGCACATACTTACAATGTTGTGATAGTAATTTGCTGCTAATTTTTTAGATTTTTTTAGTAAATTTCTATAATACCTGCTTTGAGAAAATATTCCTTTTCACTCGCAACTTATTATTTATTTTATTTCCCCAACAAATCGTTGAGCTTTTGACAGTCAAAAATCAAACATCATATTAACACCTATAGTTTACTTTACTTAACTCCTCTCCCAAATGTAATTTAGAAAAGGTAGGTTTTTGTAAATCACTATTTACCTAAAAATTACTGTATTATAAATTTTAAAATGAATTTATTAGGTAAACAGTTTGACAGACTACACAAAAACTATCACTATCAATAATGGGTAATATATCTTGGGTAATGAATTTCCCATAAATTTTATATGATTTTTTGAGATTACACAATTAAGTACGTAAATCCATGAATTCTGGGAATTTTCACTTGCATTTCAAATTCCTGTAAATAATGTTACTTTTTTCGATTTAAACAACTTAATAGTCCCTCTATTTAAGTGTAAGTGAAATAAACTGGATATTTTATTAAAAACTGGATGAAAAAATTTGTAATCCTCCTCAAAAATCCAAATAAAAAATTTAAGCCTTAAATTACTCGCAAAATTTCTGATCAAGTCCATATCCATATTTAATAAATGTTTGTATACTTCTGGAATATAAAAAAAAATCATTTTCCTAAGCAATATAAAGTTGCTGCCTACTGTATGCTGAAAAAACAGACTCTGAATGATTATTCTCAAAATTTGAAAAGGTGTTACATGGTAATAGGCAATGTAATATAGAAGAAAATCTAATATATAATAAAATATATAATCTAAAATATATAAGGCGTGTTCAAATGAAAGTGATTCGAATCACCACATGCGAAAAGTTTGCACTGGATTTTTGTGAAACAAATGCAATAGTGAAGCTGTATGTACCATGCATGCATGTGCAGAAGGAGATGTTTGCTAACTTCAGTTGTAAGGACATGGCATTCATTCAAAACTGGTTTGTAGATGCAACTGAATTGAAAACAGATCAGTGAACTGTAATTAAGTTTTAAACTCTGGATGGGTGTAAGCCGGTGGACATTCATTGAAGAATGGTAGCTGTGTACGGAGACGTGTGTCGAAGCCCACGGTGACAAGGTGGTGAGAACTTTTAGCAACAGTCACCAGGAGACAACGGATTTGCCGCAGCCCAGTCAAGCGCACAAGGTTGTGAAAGATAAACTGATTATGAATATTGACACAGCAAATCAAGGCAAATAGACGTCGAAGCATTCATGCATTCATGAGTTGTATATTTCCATTGGTATTGTTCACAATATTGTCAGCAACATTCTGAAGTATCGAAAAGTTTGTTGCCGATGGGTACCCCGTATACTGTCTGACCATCACAAGAAACAATGAATGGGCCTCAGTTTACAACATTTGGTGCACTACACGGTTGACGGTAACAAATTTCTGCAACGCATAGTGGCAGGGGATGAAACCTGGTGTCATCACTCTAACTGGAAGGGAAGTCCATCAGCATGCAATGGAAACATCCCGACTTGCCTAAGCCCAAAAAATTCAAAATTCAGCACTCAGCCGAAAAGGTGATGTTGACAGCATTTTTGGACATTCAGGGTCCCCTATTACTGGAGTTTAAGAAGACGCACATCTCCATTAACGCCCAATGGTACACCAAAATGCTTTATAAGCTGCACAAAGCTATCAAAAACAAATGTCCAGATATGTTGTGGTCAGGTGTCATCCTTGTGTATGACAATGCAAGGCTGCATGCCGCCTGGATGTGTGTCGAGGCATTGGCCCGTAAAAAGTGGGAAGTCTTGGAACATCCAGCTTACAGTTCAGATCTGTCGCCTTGTGACTATCACATCTTTTGACAGCTGACGAAAAGCCTAAAAGATCAATGCTTTCAGTCTGACGAGGACGTAAAAGCCACAGTTATGAACGGATTCCATGATCAACCGACAAATCGTTCCTCACGGATAGTCCATAATCGTTCCTCACGGACGGAATTCTTAACTTTTCCAAGCAGTGGGATGCCTGCCTTAATGCAATGTGTGATTTTTTTAACAAACAGTGTATGCATTTCAATCATTAAATATTGCTGTTCCTATCTATGTATCTGTCTCATTTCTGTTGCTACACATCTCATGGATATACACCTCAAACAACTTTTATTTGAAAGCCCCTCATATATAACATAAAATATATAATCTAACATATCGAAATGCTTTCCATTAAAGAAAATCTTAAGTTTTTATAATATTGCCAGAATTTGACTAAATATGAATATTAAGCTATACCCTGATCAGCTAAAATATTATGGCCATCTCTACAATATGAGAATGTACTCGCCCTAGTCAGGTATATGGCATGTGACAAAATGGAAATGTTATTTAAGATTTAGCTATTTTAGATTATGGAATATTGAGGCATCACTTTGCAATAAATTCTCTTGGCTGTGAAATTGTTAGCATGCATCTTAAACATTAAAATCTCATGTAATGAGAAAGGCTGCTGATCTAAATAACTTTAACCCAATAGCAGTTACAAGATTGAGCAGTTCTATCTTTCCAAATACTTATGATATCTGTTAGTCATAAATTTGTAATGCAAGCTGGTTTATTTGTGCACACTGTGGTGCATAACTGGAATGAGCTGAGCGTGTTGATGACCATTAAAAGGTTAAATCCAGATCCCAAGGCTAGGAACAAGTATCTCTGAAATGCAACTGCTTATCAAGTTTTCATGACCCCTGCTTGCAAATGTGGTACAGTCTTCTGGATATTTACAGGACTTGCAGAAGCCATGTCACGATGCATTGCAACTGTTTTTCACAACCGAAATGGAGTAACATTAGAAAGTACTGTTTCGACTGAGCATAAAATGCAGTGCTGATTTAGTTAATGCATTAACTATTTGTACTACTAAGTTGTGTCTGGTAACCCTAGGGAAATATGCTACTGTAAATCATTTTGGCTGTCAAATTGTTAGTATAGATCTTAAGCATTAAACTTTCATAATTTAACTGATGTGCGATATGTTCCCTTAAAAAGTATTTCAAAGAGGTATCCTCCCTTCAGACAGATAACCGTTGCATGCTTTGCCTATAAATTAAACAATAATAATACTGTTCAAATCGAAGATAATCCAAACATGTACACATATAAATTTAACAATACAAAAACTAGCATAACTTCTCTAAACAGCTTAATTCTGACTGAAGAGTTTGGGAACTACTGATTTGTATGTTGATATTAATATTATACAATTTTTTTAATATTTAAAATATATATTTATTTTTATTTTTCATCTACATAGGTCGTCATCTTCGCATGGGAGCGAAACTCAAAATAAACCTCATGTATCTGTACAAAGGTCAAAATCAAACTGCAGTTTGCCTCCATTCATTAACAAGAAAGTTCAGCATGTCAATAAAAAGAAAACCACAGAACACGAGTCAGAGTGTAGTTTACCTCCATTCTGTAATAAAGCAAAGCAGTTTGTTCACAAAGAGAAAATTACAGAAAATGAACTCAAAATAGAAGCAGTAATTACTATACCAGATATAAATGGAAATGGTGATGGTAATGATAACAGTCAGCATAGGGCAGTTAAAGATTTAAAGTGCCTTTCAATAGTACAGAAAAACAAATGTTCTGAATATAAGGCTCCAGATGATCTCAAAGATAATCAGTCTAAGGAAAATATATCAGAAACTATTACTGCTGTAGTAAATCATAACAAGAAATGTAAAGAAGATGCAAGTTCCATTGCTACAGGCTCTCAGAGTTCAACTCCACGATCTATTAAATATACAACTAGAGGACAGAGTCCCAGTGCAGATAAAATAAAAGGAGAAAAATCATATCAATTTCTGAACAATCTTACTTACACAATAGCCAGCACAAGATTCAAGCCATGGGAAAATTTCAGCAACACATACATGTTATCTAGAGGTACAGCTTTAAAAACTAAACAGTTTACCAATGTTTACCCACCTAAATCAGCTGATGAGTTGCTATCATATGGAAAAAATACAAACTCTAAGTCCCACAATAAAAGGTCTGTAGCTAGTGCCAGAGGAAATCATGAACACACTCCCCCTTCACATGAAAGCACTGTATGTACTTTACCACAGATTAAAAACAGTGAGACTAGAAACCAAGCTACTAAGTGCATTTCTAATGAAATAAATTTGCCAATTCTTCAGAATAAAAGAATTTTATATTTTGAAGATAATGGTGCACGTAGTTTTGAAGTGCAGCTGAGTAAAGACTCATTTGATCGTAAAATAGATAAAACATTATTATGTAGCATAATGGAATGCAACAGTGGGCCAGAAAAGGTACTTTTTAAAGTAAATTAATGCAGTTTGAGTTAATTATAAACCGACTGATAACACATTTGACCAAAATTAAATTTTTACGTCTAGTTTTCGATATAGCTGCAAAAAGCATCATAATTTTTTTTATATAAAGGCCACAGTCAGGCAAGACCTCATTTAATTACTTTGTGTGTGGGGGGGGAGGTATTTCGTTTACTTCTATCTTTAATGCATTTTGAAGACTTCAGAATTTTGACTTTATTCTTTTTTTTTTTTTTTTTTTTTTTTTTTTTTTTTTTTTTTTTTTTTTCAGGGTATCCAGCATTAGATGGAGATAATAGTTGGTTTCAAGAAGGCAGACAACTGGTTATTTTTCATTAAGTCATTTATAATAAGCTATAGTATTATATTTTAATTAATAATTAATTATTAATCAATATAGGAGGATATATATAAGGAATGTATAGCTTTTACTTGACTGAACTTCATCATGAATTGAAACCTAATTTTAACAACACAGGTTATTCATTTTTGGTTTTGATTTGTATAGAAATGTCTTTGTGACAAATCATGTCAGAATGTCAGACAGCCAATTTACCATTTTTTAAACTGGTATATCTTTTCACTGCTGTGTTTTTCCATGTGCTGTATTTTTCTTTGCCTGGTGAGAGTGCTTTTCAGATGAGATCCAGTTTTCATGTCTGCCGTTGTTATAAATGGTTAATACACAGCATTAGAATATTTCTTAAGTCTATCAAAAGTTACTGCTATGAACAAACTGGTGTAATATTTTTGGCATTCCCAAGGCAGGTCTCCTGGGTCTTGGGAGCTGCCATTTTAAGATGGTGGAGGGCGTGGGACATATACCTGCTTACCTTTGTTAGACACCAAGTGTCCCCATCCTCCATCACCTATAACATTTTTCAGTTATTTCCTTATGCACTGATATATATTAGATTAGTTACAGATTTCACTTTAAAGTTGGTTAATTGAAGCACAATAAGGGAGTTACTGAGAAGAATGGTATTGTGAAGGATTTCTTAAAGGAAATCATTTCATGTTCATGGGACATGCTCATATATTAAGGAAAAATCATAAAATTATCATTCAGCCAGCCCATTCACCAACTACCAAACCTAACAGGAATGACTATAACTTCAGCAATCTTAGTTATTTCTAGATTGAGTGATCTCAGTTTTATTTTGATAAAAAGGGATATTTTGTAGTGAAAACTTACTCTTTCTTGTTCTTATTTTAACATTTGCTTTTATTCCTGTTTTGTTCTTCATTTGAGTTCCATAGGGTTTTTTTAACAACTTGACATGATTTTGAGAAGAAAAACTATTAAAAAATATCTTTAAAATATTTTTTAAAATTTAGCTTAATTAAATATTCAATTTACAATTTATAAAACATTTTGTTTGATTTTGAGTATAATACTCAATGTGTGATGATTTGAAAACTTGATCATATTATTGAGAAAATAGGTACCTGAATTTGGTCACATGTATTATCAGTCACGTTGTATATTTAAATTATTTTTTAAAAATTTACAATAAATGTTTTCTGGTTTTTATGAACTTGCATATCTGCGAACTTGAAATAATAATCATTAGTTAAATAAACATGTAGAAGGGAAAAAGAAGTGCTGCCCCTTATATGTACACATAATATCTACTTCTCTGGTTCTTAATTTTATATTTTCTTATCTATAACATTTAATTATTTAATCTACTGAAGAAGAATGGATAGTCGGCTCAAGTTGCATTTTATAAGGACTTTAAACTGATTGCTTGCTCAAAACATGATTGAGACTTCATTCTATTTCTAAATTATTGTAAATATTACCGAAATTCTGATTTCATTTCTTCTATATAAAGCACATTATTCTCACATTTAATTAAAGAAAACAGAAAATGCAGTATTAGATACTTCATCAAATTTTAACACATTCCCATGGCATTTTATTTTAATTCCAAAGTTCTGAACATCAGTCTATAGTTTCTGCATAAAACAAGCTAATTATTTGAAAATTATATAAAAAATTACAGTTATTTAAGTAATAGAAAAAAATATATTTTCTGCACACATGTTAAACTGGTGCGACATTTTGTTTATTTCTGTAAAATGCCCGATTTTCAACCATTATATTGTTAATTAAACTTAATTTTTATTCACCTTAGGTTTTTCACATCAAAAGTTTTATGGTTTCAATAAATTATAATTAGTAAAAAGTACTACAAAACACATGAACAACAACAACAAAGCCTCCCTAAAAAACTATTGATATGCAAGAGAATTGCAACAGAGTGATTTTAATTCAGATTTGAATTGAAAGTATACCTTTAGCAAATAATTAATCTAAAAAACTTTATAATAAATATCTGAAATAGTGTTTTCTTTGGTCATTTAAAAATTACATCTTTAGTGAATAATTCAACATGAAGTCTGTGAGCAGATTTGAAATATAAGTAAAAACATTAAGTTTGATCTGCTACGAGGGCGTTTCCCCCCCCCCCCAAAAAAAAAAGGTCTCCTATTTTTTTAGATATACAAAGAACCGTTTATTTTCTATAATTGTTACATCACTTTAAAGATTGAAGCATGCTGTATTTTTCAACATAATCGCCATTTCGGTCGATGCATTTTTGTAGATGCTGTGGCAGTTTTACAATGCCCATGTCATACCAGCTTGCCGCCATGCCCTTCAGGAAGCGTCAATTGAGTCCAAGAAGTTCTCCTTTTCGTCTCCATAGCGGTGAAGAAATTTGCGGGAAGAATCAACCCGTTGCCGTTTGTGGTCTTCTGTCAGCATACGCGGCACCCATCTTGCACACACCTTCCAATATTGCAACTTTTCCGTTAAAATCCTGTGGATGGTGCTTCTGGAAACCTCAGGAACCAAAATGCACAGAGCATCCAGAGCGATCCTCCAATCTTTACGCATGAGTTTCTTAACTTTCGCGATTGTCTCTTCGGCAATTGACGGCCTCCTGCTCCTTTCTTCGTCATGAATTTCAGTACGACCTGCTGTAAACTCTCTACACCACTTGCGAACGTTTTTGACATCCATGCACGACTGTCCATACACTTCCATTAAAAGGCGGTGAATTTCAACCGGTTTAAAACATTTTGCGTTCAAAAATCGAATAACTGCGTGCACTTCGCAGCAACGTTTATCGGGAGCTCCATTTCGAATGGCTGCCAAGCCAAGACTGAGCATCCGAGTGAAGCGCCTGCGTGCTTATGTGGTAGTGGAGAAGCCACCACTCACAATAGTGTTGCCAACAACCGTATTAAAACTTTCCGTACGTCCCCAAAAAAATAGGAGACCTTTTTTTTGAGATTGCCTTCGTATTTACTGGGAATGTGTTAGAAACACATTCCATTTTTGATTAGGCATTTGTAAATAATACTAATAACAAACAAATGAATGTTACTAAATTATGGACATCTGATATACATACTATATATAAAATAAACTATCAATTGATAGTTTAATTGATAATACTAAAAATTGTATCTCCATACTGCTGTCTGATGACAATAAAAACCAGTATAGTGGTACAATCTTTACTTTTTAAAATTTCCTGTCAATAGTCAAGTCAAAATTGCAATATATGATGCCATAAAGTAGCCATAAATGTAAAACATGTACTAAAAGGAAAACTTATGCTCTCTAATTATAGAGATTATATATTTTTATATCATTAAACGTGATTTAACAGTATCATTTTTAAGGGTTTTAAAATCTAAAATGAAAGAAAATTAAAATAGGATTATGTTTTCATTTTTAATGATATTTCAAACTTGATATTAATTTGACGCTAAAAGCATATCTTATTAATTTCAAGCAAAAGTTGAATTTTATCAATTATGCTTCATTTTGACATAAACTTCTTACAGGTTTTTTAAGTGCGTTGAAAATTTATTATTTAAACATGAAAAGATAGATATGAAATATTAGCAGTTTTGCGATTTCATAATTTTGAAATATTTGTTTTTAGTGTATGAAATTTCATTCTTTTAATTTTACATGTCCTGTATTTTCAGATGGTCCAAACAGGCTCAGGAGATGACAAGAATAAAATTCTGAACTTAGAACATCAAACAATGAAAGTTCAGTGTTCTGAGATACATAAAAAGGAAAATCTGATAGTTCCAGAAGCCTAAAAATATTGCCTTAAGTGCTTATTTAAACTCAAACATTTTTTATTCATACTTTTTTTATTAGCTAATGTAAATCTCTTTCATTAACTTAATACTGGCTTAATATCAAATCTCATTTTAAAAAAGTTGAAAGCTAGTCATATCTTAAATATTATTTAGTTGTGCAATATAAATAGACATTAAATGATTTCTGCTAATTTCAGATATCTTTTCAGGAACATATTTATGAATGTGTATGTGTGTGTGTGATATATATATATATATATATATAGTAATGATATATACAAGTAGATGGAAAGACTTTTTTATTTGTACAAAATGGAGTTGATAAGGCAATGTAGTTACTAGATGAATGATATGTCTAAAATTATTAAAAACTACATATATGTACAATGTATTATCTGAGGAAAGGTATCTGAGGTAATCTTATTTGTATAGAAGACTGAATGCTGTTCAGGATTACTGGATGTTTCCACAAAATGCCAACAATTATCGCTGATGTTACAATTGCTATAGCTGTATGCATTTTTCTTCCTTTGGTTTTCAGAGGCACAGTTTCAACTATTAAATCAGCTGGGATGTATTGCACTTTATCTTGTACCTATATGGAGTATTTTTTATATTCAGTGACATGTTTAAACTATTAATCAATAACAGTCAAAACCATTAAAAATCCAACTAGAAATATTACAGCATGAATATAAATATTTCATAAATATACTTTTAAGACCTGTGATACTGAGAATACTGTTTTTACCTTTACAATGCAACAGAACTGTTTTGACTTAAAAATTAATAAATGATAAAATGTGTTCTATACTTTATTAATATATTTCAAATTAAATTGCACTTTCCATTTTAAATCATTTACTTATTTTACAATGGTATGCAAAATCAAAGGATAGCTGTAAAAAATTACATTATTTGTGATCACTGTCCCTTTACTTATCATTACTTTTATATATATATGCTTCCCTGCAATGAATTATGTAAGCAGGAATTAAAAACACCTGTAATGTTTTATAAATATCAGTGTACACAGCACATAGAGAACATTGCATGTGATTATGTAAAGGTTTGGTTTAACTTACTTGATTATGGCAAAGCATGCTAGGGCTATCTACCTAAAGAGAGGGATACCTTCATGGAGCATTTTCCAAGGGAAATTGGCTCCTAGCTGTGTTATACATAAAGGGAACCATGAAAACACTCATGCAGCCAGCACATTCACCTGGAACTGAACCCAGGTCAAAATACCAGAACCAGTGTTTAGTGTACCACTCGGCCTTTGGTTGCCTGATTACATAAAGGAACATTCTGTTTTTGCATCAAGTTTAAGAAAGACATACTATGTTACTTACATTGCAAAGGAAAGATTTGTAGGTAAACAAATATGTACATGCCTGTTATGTCCTGTGTAAATTACAACCACCCACTGTTTTAAAAAATAGATCTGAGTTCCCTCTGAAGAAGAAATGAATGGTAAACACATTTAGTAGACTTAAACTGTAGAAAATTTATTACTCTAATTTAACATTTAAAAATATTCATCCACTGGGAAGAGTGAGTGAGTGGGTGCACTGCTATGATGCAGACCTTAAAAAATCTTATTTGGGAAACATGGCTGTTTGTCTGGCTTTGGCTGGTTACAGATAATTCTACTAAAATTAATCTTAGAAGCTCCGTTGTAATATGCAAAGTAATGCAACTCTTTATTACGATTCCTTTTTATAAAATCAAACAACTGCCATGAAAACTGGGTCACCACAGACATTCTGATGTTTTGTGTTTGCTTCAGATGGGTTAAGAATCAGAATTTAAACTGAAAAATGAAAAGAATTGTGATTCAATCATTTGGACTCCAGTAGTGATACGACCTTAAATGCTTCCTGCTGGGGAATGAAGGTAAAAAAGTTTTGATAGCCTTGCATAAAGGCCATTTTCTCACAGATAAAGCAAGCAATAATCATATTCATCTTTGTGACAGTAGCTACAATAGGATGAAATAAGGGTTACCTCACAATTGCTTACCAAATAGACAAAAGTCTTCAGATGTAGTAGTAGCCCTTGGACAATCAGGACCATTTGAATGAATAACATTCCTAATGACCTCTCCCTTCATATACCTAAGATGACAAAAGTCTCAAAATGTTTGACTGTGATTAATCAGCTCTGTGTCTACCAATCCAATTGCTATTTCTGAATCAATACAGACTGCATGTTGTTACATAAGACAGTGGTCTTAACCTGAAATTGCATGTGGGCCAAAAAAGCATGATTTGAAAGCAGTTGGCAGGTCATCTTAGTTATATTTTTAATGTTTTAATGAAATAAATATTTTTTACGTAAATTTTTAATTATATTAAATATTTATCTAAACATAAATATGATGATAATAATAATGCAAAGGAAAAAAATTCTAATTTATATTCTGTCTAAAATTTAAAGTTAGTTATACTTTGGAATACAAACAAATTGACAGTTAAATATTAAATTTTCAGACTGACATTTATTTCAAATAATTCTAGTATATTGAATTAAACACTTTTAGCTTAACTTACTTACTTTTAACCTAAACTAAAAATAAACAAATCACAAAATATTTTTAGTGGGTCAAAATATGAGAATAAATAATGAGTTTCCATAGTTATCCTTTAATTTTATACACCAGTGTATACAAGTATTTCGTTTTCTTTAGTTTTGAGAGTTTAGTTTGAAAGTCAATTCAGTATGTATTTGTTCTTTGTGCCTTGAAATGCATAAGTTATAATTTATGCTGAATGTAAAGTTTTCTCCATTATTGTGTATATAAAGTATTGTAATTGATCTTTTTTGATTAATTTTTTAACGTTCATTTTTTATAGACATTGATTCTTCCAAGAACTAACTAATAATGCTATAACTTTAATTTAATCTGCAGCAATGCAGATCATTCAGTGAACATGTATTACTCATCATTAATTGAGCAACTGTCACAAAGCACTGAAATGCTATTTTGAAAGTTTTGAAGAACCAGTGCAGATCAGTTAATGTTTTATATACTAGAACTCTAGAAAAATTCAGTAATAATTCATATGAAATGATAGAAGTACACAATAAGAACTTTTAAACACAGAAACCTCATGTTTTAGAATACATGGTAGAGATGCAAGAAAAATTTATGATCAAAGTTTAATTATGTGTAAAAATGTATAGCATAGTAATTAGGAATATTAATTCATATTCATAAATCACCTCTGTAAATGTTAAACTATTTTTTGAACTGTTGAACTGGCCTTATTTACATAATTTCTATTAACTGAGAATTTGAAAATCAATGTTAATTATATTTAAATCCGATAGGATTTACATCCACATTCTAATCATAGCATATAATTTTAAAGTACTTTTTTTTTTTTTGGCAACGCTGACTTGCATGTGGATCAATTATAAAGACAATTTTTTACATTAAAACACATTTAATGCATTTTAAATGTATTTTAACTGTGCATTATATATCTCTATATATAATTTATTTACTAAAGAAATATTGATTATATTATCTCCTAAGATTAATTTTAATAGAATTATCTTAAAAGAGTGATCCATAGTTAGTAAGTTCAATTCTGAAAATTGTTTTAAAGTAACTTGAATGTATATTGTTAAAAATGCTTAGCGGGGACTTCAATTAAATCATGAATAACAAAATTTTAATTGTAAAAAGAAATAAATGAAAAGCAATTAATTAAATTAAAAGACTTTTAAGATAATTCTACTAAAATTAATCTTAGGAGATAATATAATCAATATTTCTTTAGTAAATAAATTATTATTAACTTACTTTGCAGCAATTGCGCAAGTAGTAAAATAATTCGATTTCGCACTAAGTGAATTTAAAATTATACAACATTATATATATATATACACTGCTAGCCACCCAAATTGCAACACCAAGAAAGACAAGAGATATCACAATAAAATTTGTTTAGTAGATAACATGATGACCAAGTATCAACTGATTAAATTTATAAACTTCTGTGAAGTATGGTTCCTTCCAGAATCAGTAGCCAGAGTAGCCGCCATTGTTGAAGATCACTGCTGCCACACACCTCGGCATTGATTCAAAGAGACTTTGGATATGTTCTTGGGGTACAGCAGACCAAGCAACTTCTACACGTTGCCAAAGTTGATCTGGTGTGGCAGCTTGGGATGTAATCTCGGACAATCGTTCAGCAACCATGGACATGTTTTCTATCGCCGAAAGATCCAGAAAGCGAGCCGACCAGAGAAGCAATTCAATCTGCTGACTGACAAAGAACCCTTGGACAATGCATGGAACGTGTGGTCCGCGCATTATCCTGTTGAAATATGGCTAAGGGCAAGCCCTGAAGGTAAGGAAGGAAAACTTGCCCCAACACCTCGGAGATGTAGCGCTGGCTGTTTAAAGTACCGGCAATGCGTATTAGAGGAGTGCAAGAATGATATCCAATACCGCCCCATACCATAATACCCGGTGCAGGAGCAGTGTGGCATTGCATAACACAGCTGTTCAGCATCCTCTCTCCATGGTGTCTCCAGACTCGAATCCGACCATCGTGGTGTTGCAGACAGAAGCGTGACTCGTCAGTAAAGACAATTTCATTCCATTCTGCCGTCCACATCCTTCTTTCATAGCACCATTGGTGGCGAAGACGTCTGTGGTTCTGCATCAAGGTTAGATGAAACAATAGATGTCTTGCGGATAGACCACTTTGCTGTAAACGGCGTCGAATTGTACGCGCAGACACTGGATGATGCGTTACAGACTGAATGTGCTGTGCTATGGTTCGTAATGTGACTGTGCGATCCGTCACTGCCATGTGCACAATATTCCTGTCATCATGTGAAGTGGTGCAATGAGGTGGATGCGATCGAACACATCGGTCTGTCTTACCCTCCTGCTTACAACGGTCACGTATTCGCATTACAGTTGTTTGGTTTCGTCTAACATGACTACCGATTTCCCTGAAAGATAATCCACGCTCTCGGTAGGCCACTATCCTTCCTCTGTCAAACTCAGATACTTGATCACACGATGATCGCTGTTTACTACGAGGCATAATTGATAGTTTTTTTTTTTTTTTTTTTTTTTTTTTTTTAACCACAAGAAAAACACAATTGCCAAACTTAAAATCGTCGAAAACTCCAAGCCTTAAACAGCGCTTTGAAGTGGCGCGCGTGATGTGCGTCTGCGCTGAAATTCTAATCATTTGCATATCTCACCTCCGGTAATGCATGTTGTAAATTTCATGTTATTTGCATGCTTCCTTCAGGGTGTTGCATTTACAGTGGCCAGCAGCATATATATATACATCCAATAGTATTATTGGGTTGGTTTAATTCTAGCAAAGCATGCAAGATCTATCTGCCTAATGGAAGACTTCCTTTATGTAAGACTTTCTAAGGGAAACTGACTCATATACATGTTACACATGGGGACACCATGAAAATGCCCATGCATTGTTTGCCTGAAATCGAACCCAGGTCGGAACTACTGCAATATATTGACGAATACAATCATATATTTTGGTTTACTGATAGGAGAAAAACTTTTTATATTCAATTATATTTATACAGTCGAGGATGCCTATTCTTCACCCCAAGAGTCGTCTCCAGTTTGTTGGCCGTGGATCTCGCTACTTGTAAAAACTAGTTTTATCCAGCATTGCATATTCTAGAAGTACAGACTTTTTAGAAAATGCAGGGAAAATGGTTGCCACATCACAAATCATGTTTGTGTAGTTTGTGGTAGGAAGTTGATTATGACTCTGTATGTTTTTCATATTTAAATGAAGAATATGCTTGCAGATCTCTAAATTGGTGTCGAATTTATCAAAAACATGATGATGCATTTGCTATTCCAAAAAATTTCTTTATTGTATACTTTAGACCAGTGGTTCTCAATCTTTTGACTAATGCATACCATCTAAACAAAAATTGGAAACCTTTAGTACCACCACAGCACCACGCTTGAACAAAGCTCAGATCGCATAAATTTACGAGTGTTAGAGAAAAAACTCAATCATGATGTTGCTGTTTTAATTTTCGAATTTAATAGTTAAATATACTTTGCTTCTTTGTGTACCACTGGTTGAGAACCACTACTTTAGACTGCCAAAATTTATTGTCATAATATGTGCTGAACTGAGACAGTATCTGAAACCTCATTCAGAAAATAGAAATGTTCTGAAAGAAAGGCAGGCTTTTTGTACTTTTTCTTAAATGAAATATATATATTTTTTCTATTTTCCAATTATCTGTAAAGCATTTTTCCTCCACATATTTTTTCATCAGTTAATAATATAGAGACATCCGAGAAGAATCTAACTACTTTATGTACACAAAATTAATCTTTAAATATAACAGTCGAATACCTTATGAACAATATTGTGAATCCAATAAGTAATATCTTTCATTATTAAGCGAGATTCACACTATTGTAAAATACATATACAGTCAAAAGTCTTTAAATTAGGACGTCCATAATCCGGAATGATCTATAATCCGGACCTCAAAACTACAAACTTTCTGTGCATGCATAAACACACAATGTGTCTACGCATGCGCATAATACGTTTACACATGTGCATATGCGTTTACGCATGCGCGTTTAATGTATAACGGACAGTATAAGCTAAGCTAAAATTATCTAATTATCTATTTCAGTTAATATTACAGACTGTGTTGTTCCTTAATCTTCTAATTGGATCCGACTTATTATTTTTGGCAGACTGTTAGAGCAATTTTATAAAAGTAAGCTTGAACTTTCGATTATGTCAAAAAGAATTTCCGATTCTGGAGCTGCCAAAGGATCTACAAAGCGAAAGCATGTTTCGATGTCCATCAAACAAAAAGTGGAGGCATATCCTTTGTTTCTCTAAACCATTCTGAAAACTGTTTATCAATTTCACACTGCTCTGTGGGGGGGGGGGACGTCGCGGCGCACAATGAACTGGAATTTGATCTTTCAGCACTATCCTTATCTTCAGGGCAGATGTTTTTATGTTATTCAGCTTATAATTCCGTACTAAATGTAGTATTTCATCTCGATGTACTCAGTCTTTGATATGATTTAAATCAAATTCCTCGTCATAATAAATATCACGAATACACATCAAATAGTTTTCTGGTTGCAATTTTCTAATTTCGTCTATGCGTAATGTATGCTTTACACATGTGCGCGTTCAAAGAAATGTTTAATACAGTAAACAAATAAATATTAAGCTTTTTTTTTTTTTGTAAATTTTGATACCTTTAGATCATAATTGCTCTTTATTTCATAAATTACAGTTTCATATTTTTAATTTTATGATTTTTCCATGCCATCTTACCAGATTTAAACTGATGATCTATAATCCGGAAAAACCGATAATCCGGAATCGCCGAAATCCCAACGAGTCCAGATTAAAGACTTTTGACTGTATATGGTATTAAGAGGATAATAAAACCATAAAATATAAAACTTTTGTAACTATTATGATACTTTTACAAATTATTTTTATTTGTATCCTTATTATGATTTAAAACTGATTACGTATAGTTAATATATTTTGTTTTAAATAAAATATTGATGTCACAAGTTTAAATTAAAAAAAAGCTCTTCATATTTTTTTTGGGGAAGAGGGGTTAAAATAATGCATGTCTTTGAAAAACACAGGGACCATATATTTTCAAGGATAACCATGAAAATGAATGGTTACTGTATCTTTCAAACTAATTCGTTATTTATTACTAGTAAATTATTAAATGATTAAAATTTTTAACTGTGAGAGAGATGAGAGTTTTAAAAAACAGTTATGATCATTTGGC